ACTTGTGGCATGCTGCACGGTGCCAGCACTTAGCCAGAAGCAGCTTCCCTCACAAGCATCATCCCCGAGAGTCCAAGACTAACAGTGAATATCATCATAGCTGCCTTCAGGAAGCGTGGTTCCAGATGAAGGCAGCAGGAGAATGCTACACAGTGAGCACATCCCTTTACTTAAATCATTCCCCGTTATCCCTAGCGTCACCTGCTCCTCCATCGTATACTCCTAGAAATGTTTGCATAGTTTGGCACCAGATCGATGGTATAACAGGTAGGGCACTTGTTGTCTAAGTGGCTGACACAAGTTCAATCCCTGGGACCACATATTGTCCCCTGAGTCATGCCAAGAGTCATCTCTGAGTGCAAAGCCAGGAGTAAGCCCTGCGCACCACCAGGTGTAGCCCAGAAATGAAAAAATAAAAAAAAACCAAGGTCGACAAGGTAGCAAAAGATGGATGCATATGCTGGAACTATCACTGTCACTGTCCTCCTGTTGTTCATCGATTTGCTCGAGCAGACCCAGTAACGTCTCCATTGTGAGACTTGTTGGTACTGTGTTTGGCATATCGAATATGTTACGGATAGCTTGCCAGGCTTTACCGTGTGGGCGAGATATTCTCGGTAGCTTGCCGGCCTCTCTGAGAGGGGAGAAGGACTCTACACTGATAATTACATACGTAGCATCAGCCATCACTAGAATTTTCATATAATTCTAGTTTGTCATTCACCCTCACTGAGCTCCTGCTATGGAACCCTGGAGACATGTATACCAAATCCTCCTCACTCTTCTTTTTTTTCTTTTTGGATCATACCCAGCAATGTTCAGGGGTTACTCCTGGCTCTACACTCAGGAATTACTCCTAGCGGTGTTCGGGGGACCATATGGGATGCTGGGAATCGAATTTGGGTCGGCCTCATGCAAGGCAAACGCCCTACTCGCTCTGCTATCACTCCAGCCTGACAGTACAGGGGATAAAAGGAGCCTGCCTGGTATGTAACTGACCCCAGTTTGATCCCCAGCACCACACATAGTCCCTGAGCACTGCCAGGAATGACCTTTGAGCACCACCAGGAGTTTCCCCTAAAGTTGCCCCCAAAGCATGAAGGCCATACCCCTTTTGTGGAGCCAGGAAGTAAGGGCCATAGGTTTCTAACTGGCACTGGTACTGGCTCAGAGAAGGCTGGATCTCCTCCAGAGAGAAGCTCCAGCAGCAATAAAATGCTGTGATAAGAACAGGGATGTGAATCACCCAAAGTACAAAGCTCCTTCTCTTGACAGCACCCTAGCAACAGGCTCTTATCTACACAGAAAGCCCTAAGCTGAGGCAGTTTGGGAGAAAACCTACTTTGTAAAGGCAGGCAATGCACTCCCCCATTCTCAGGGTTGGTCACATTGCAACTTGGGATGTGCAATTCCTTTATTTTCCTTTATTGGGTACTCTCAGCTCTTTTCTCTCTGGGGAAAGCCTCCACTTCCTTGAAGCCCTCCTCATAATCTCTAAAACTTATTTCAGGGGCCAGGCAGTACAGTGCATAAGGCACTTGCCTCACACAAGTTCAAACCCTGCACCCCATATGGTCCTCCGAGCTCACCTGGAGTGATCCCTGAGTGCAGAGCCAGAAGTTCGAGGGTAGAACTAAAAGTAAGCCCTGAGGGGCTGGTGCAATAGTTCAGCAGATAGGTTGTTTTCTTTGCATGGGGCCGACCTGGGTTCGACTTCCAGCATCCCATATTATAATCCTCAGCTCTGCTAGAAATGATTCCTGAGTGAAGAGCCAGGAGTAACCCCTGAGCATTGCCAGGTGTGACCCTAAAAGAAAAAAAAAGTAAAGCCCTGAGCACCACTGAGTATGACCCGCAAACCAAACAAACCAATCCTGTTACTTCACTGTTCATCTCCTGAATGTTTTTTCCATTTTGAGGTCATACTCAGTAGTGCTTAGGAGCAACCCCTGGACCATCTGCAGTGCTGGAGATTCGAACCAGAGTCAGTAGTATATAAAACAAGTGCCTTAATCCCTGGACTGTCTCTGTCTCTCCTTCTGAAAGTCTCTTCTGTGATGGTGGATTATGGACCTGGGAATCCAAACAGAGGTCAGCACTTTCTTTTTTTTCTGCTTTTTGGGCCACACCTGGTGTTGCACAGGGGTTACTCCTGGCTCATGCACACAGGAGTTACTCCTGGGGGTGCTTGGGGGACCATATGGGATTCTGGGAATCGAACCCAGGTCAGCCATGTGTAAGGCAAACGCCCTACCCACTGTGCTATCATTCCAGCCCCCAGGACTAACTTTCTTTTCCAGCGAAGGAACCCTTCACTCTGAGGCCATGGCTTCCAGAGAAATCAGGTGTTGGGCACTTGTTGATGCATCTGTGAGGATCAAGTGCTTCGGGGGCAGGAGCGATAGCACAGCGGGCAGGGCATTTGCCTTGCACGCGGTCAACCTGGGTTCGATTGTCAGCATCCCATATGGTCCCCTGAGCACTATGAAGAGTAATTCCTGAGTGTAGAGCCAGGAGTAACCCCTGAGCATCGCTGGGTGTCACCCAAAAAGAAAAAAAAAAGAGCAAGTGCTTCTTGGGTACACCTTGACAGCTGCTCAGTGGGGCTGTTGGGACACTGGTAAAGATGCTCATGGCAAACTTTACCAGTCTTTTTTTTCCTGGAAGACGATAAAACCCAGTTTATTCAGCAACAGTGTGGTCTCCAAACACTGGGTGCCCGGCCGAGGATTTTTGTTATGTTGCCCATGACATCTTGTTTGCATAGGAGAAAAAGACGACCGCTGGACTTGAGCTGTTACCGACTGGATTCCACAGGATGTCAAAAGACCGCGTGGCCGCCCACCTACCAGATGGTCAGACTTCTTCATCAAGATCATGAACGATCGGTTTGAGGCCCTTCATGTTCCCGGAGCGAACAGGTGCCATTGGGCTACACTAGCACGCGACAGGGACAAATGGAGACGTTACTGGCGCCCGCTCGAGCAAATCGACGACTAACGGGAAGTTAAGTGATTAAGTGATTAAGTGCCCATGGCATGGAACAGTGGGAGGCAATGGAGGCAGACCAAGGGACAGGTATTTCCACTTTTATTCTTGACCTACCTATGCCACCAGTGCTCGGGGAAATGTCTGGCCTAAATCAGATTGGTCCTAACCTCATTGTGGGCCTGTCAATTTTTCCTCACAGAGAAGAACTTCAGGAGGAGGTAAAATGGTGTAGCCAGATAGTTTTTATTTGTTTATATCTTGGGGCCACATTCAGCGATGCTTGAGGGGTTATTCCTGGCTCTACACTCAGGAATTACTTCTTTAGATGCTCAGAAGACCTTTTGAATGGCAGGGATCAAACCCAGGTTGACCCTGTGCAAGGGAAGCTCCCTACCCACCGAATTATCGCTCAGGCCCCTGAACAAGATAGCTTTTTTTTTTTTAATCAAAACTTATTTAGAAAGACATGAGTGGAGAGTTGTGTTCAAGAGAGAACACTGATTTCTCCAGAGTGGACATAGGCAAGCAAAGAAACAGAGATGAGCAAACGAGATACGTGTTCAAGGGACAACACTAGCTTGACTGAAGAGCAAGCTGATTCTATCAGCCTTGACCCTCCCAGACACATCAGCAGGTGACTGAGCTGGTTGGAATGGGAAGACAGTAACCTTCTAGGGGCTCCAACCCTGCCCCCAACTCCCCTCTTTTCCCATCTGAAACAGAGACAGTGCCACTAACAATAGCAAGATCTGAAAACAACCCCAGTGCCCAAGCACAGATGAGTGGATAAACTGTGGTCTATATACATAATGAAGAAGAACAGATGACATCTTAACTTTCGCTACAATTGTGGATGGAACTATAGGGATCTCATGGACTTAAAGAAGTAAAAGAGGGGCTGGAGTGATAGCACAGTGGGTAGGGTGATTGCCTTGCACACGGCTGACCCAAATTCGAATCCCAGCATCCCATATGGTCCCCTGAGCACCACCAGAAGTAATTCCTGAGTGCAGAGCCAGGAGTAACCCCTAAGCATCGCTGGGTGTGACCTAAAAAGCCAAAAAAAAAGAAGTAAAAGAGAGAACAAATGCCAAATGATTGTATTCATCTGTGGAACTAAGATAAAGTAAAAGGATAGGAAATATTCAATGAAAACCAACCGTTAGATTCTTTTTTTTTTTTTTTTTGCTTTTTGGATCGCACCTGGCGATGCACAGGGGTTACTCCTGGCTTTGCACTCAGGAATTACTCCTGGAGGTGCTCAGGGGACCATATGGGTTGCTGGGATGCTGGGAATCAAACCCGGCTTAGCCACGTGCAAGACAAACACCCTACCTGCTGTACTATCACTCCAGCCCCCAACCCTCAGATTCTGATGAGAGAACTGAGGGAACTAAGGGGGCCAGTGTGATAATACAGTGGCTAGGGCATTTGCCTTGCATGTGGTCAACCCGGGTTTGATCCCTGGCATTCTGTAAGTTCCTCTGAGCACCTCCAGGAGTAATTCCTGATGGCAGAGCCAGGAATAACCCCTGAGTATCATTGGGTGTGACCCAGAATAGAAAAAAAAGGATCAAGGATGGGGGGAGCAGATGAAGAAGGACGGGATAGGGCTGGTGAGATAGCACAGTGGATAGGGAGCTCACTTTGCATGCAGCCGACCTGGGTTCAATCCCCAGCATCCCATATGGTCCCCTAAGTCCGCAAGGAGTGATTCCTGAGTGCAGAGCCAGGAGTAATGCCTGATCACTGCTCACTGTGGCCCCCAAACAAAACAAAAATAAAAAACCTGAAAAGCAACAGGGATGGAAGAACATTGGCACACTGCTGATGGGTGTGGCACACTAATAATATGTGCCTAAAGCATAGATAATAACACTGAGGTAACCCCTGTTTCCCCCAATATTAATCATAATAAATAGGAAGATTACACTGTGGAAAAGGAAGTTAAGAGAGTTTTTTGTTACTGTTTTTGGTCCATGCTTGGTGGTTCTCAGAGCTGACTCCTGGTGCTCACTTCTGCAGCACATATACTAAACTTGGAACAATACAGAGAAGATTAGCATGGCCCCCAGACAAGGATGACATGAAAATTCATTACATGTTCCATATTTTAATTTTTTACCCATATTTAAAAAAAATAAGAGCTCTTTCCTGGCTCTGCCCAAGAGAGATTTTTATTTATTTTTTATAGGGATGAATCTCAGTGGAGCTTGGCTCTGAGGTTGTTGGTGCTTGAGAAACATCAGCGCCATACTGGGTGACCAACCAGCATGTGCTGGGGAGGATGATGTGCCCACAGATGAAATTCAGGGCCTTTTTAAAACTCTGTTCTATCTTTCTGTCCCCCTCAAAAGGATTTTGTTTTAGTGTTGGAGCCACACCTGGCGATGTTCATGGTTTTTTTCTAGCTCTGCACTCAGGAATTACTCCTGGTGGTGCTTGGGGGACTATATGGGATTCTGGGGATTGAACCATATGTATGGCAAATGCCCTACCCACTGTGTACTATTGCTCCATCCCTGTCAAAGAGATTTTTAAAAAATTGTTTAGGGGGCTGGAGTGATAGCACAGCGGGTAGGGTGTTTGCCTTGCACGCGGCCAGCCTGGGTTTGATTCCCAGCATCTCATATTGTCCCCTGAGCATCTCCGGGAATGATTCCTGAGTGCAGACCCAGGAGTAACCCCTGTGCATCACTGGGTGTGACCCAAAAAGCAAAAATAAATAAATAAAAATTGTTTAGTAGGTAGGAAGGCCCTCTTTTAGACAGGAGTTGATGAAGTTTAGGAATTTTCTCTAGTAAAACTCAGCAGTTTGGGGCAGGAGACTTCTTCCAGGCCATTGCAACCCTTCCCGTAAGTGGTCCAGTTGCTTGGAGCTGACCCTTGCCATGCCTGGGACTATGGTTCTGAAGCAGGCAGTAGTGGGACCCTGATGATGAGTACTTAGGAAATAATATAACTAAGATGTGAGTGACATAAAGTGACTCCACTAGCTCAAAAGTAGTTCCAAAACATGAAGGTCACACCTCCTTTGTGGACATAAAACTGAGTAAGTTTCTAACTGGCACGAGTATTGGCTCAGAGAAGGCTGGATCTCCTCCAGAGAAAAGCTCCAGAAGCAATAAAATGCTGTGATAAGAACAGGGATGTGAATCACACAAGTCCAAAGCTCCTTCCCTTGACAGCACCCTAGCAACAGGCTCTTATCTACATAGAAAGCCCCAAGCTGGGGCAGTTCGGGAGAAAACCAACTTTGTCAAGGCAAGCAGTGCACTTCCCCTTTCTCGGGATTGCCCATATCAAATTGGGAAGGGGAATTTCTTTTTTTTTCCCTTTATGGGGTACCCTCAGCTCTTTTCTCTCTGGAGCTTATGTTCTCTCTTGAATGTTTCTATCATTTTCTATCTCCCATCATCTCGAAATAAAATGGTTTACGTTTCCATTGTCTCCTCCTGAAATTTCTTTTGTTCTTGCCAAGAGCAGCTTCCATCTTCCAGCCTGAGTTTCATAGCTCTCCAAGAGCTGGTGGTGGGGACCGGTTCCCATGCCATGAAGACCACATGGGATACAGATGTCATTTGATGGCTGCCTAGTGGCATTGTCAACTTCCTCGCTGCATCAGTGCTCATGGCAGACTTTACCAGTCCTAATCCTCCAGGGCCTGTTACCCAGGTGACAGGGGTGGGTCGAATGAGAAGGCAGGAACCTTCTTTTTTTTCCTTTTTGGGTCACGCCCAGAGATGCACAGGGGTTACTCCTGGCTCTGCACTCAGGAATTAACTCCTGGCGGTGCTCGGTGCTCGGGGGACCATATGGGATGCTGGGAATCTGAACCTGGGTGGGCCTGTGTGCAAGGCAAATGCCCTACCCTCTGTGCTATTGCTCTAGCCCGGCAGGAGCCTTCTAAGGGCTCTGACCTCCTTTGTTCTGCATGACCCCCACCTGTAACAGTTTCACTGGGACAGAGCTCTGTCTAGGGACCTTGATTCCCAGGCCCAGCAAGTCATTAGGAAATACTTGTAAATGAATATGCAAACAAGTTGGAAGCCATTTACAGCTTGGATAGGGATAGGGCTGGGAAGAAAATTCAGTGGTGAGGCTGGAGCAATAGCACAGCGGGTAGGGGTAGGGCCTTTCCCTTGCATGCGACTGATCTGGGTTCAGTTCCCAGCATCCGATATGGTCCCCTGAGCACTGCCAGGGGTGATTCCTGAGTGCAGTGCCAGGAGTAACCCCTGTACATCACTGAGTGTGACCCAAAAAGAAAAAAAAAAGAAAACTCAGTGGTCCAACATGAACCTCACTTACTGGAGACCCTGGATTCCATCCCTGGTCCCACAAAAAATAATCTAAGGGCAGGAGGTGGGGAAATCAAAAAAAAGAGGGAGATTCTGACTGCAAATTGCCTAAGGAAGGTTGGCAGCAGGGCCCAGGCTGAATATAGAGACCAGCAATGACAATTCCTGACTGATGCTTGGCTGAATGTGGCTTGGAAGACTAGCTCCTAACCTCTGTGCCAGAAGTTTCTGTTTCTACTTGCCTTCTCTGGAAACCTGTATGACAGGGAATGGGATAGTTTTCCCCTAGGGAGTCAACTGCTTATTCTTGGTTTGGGAGCCTCCCAGGTCGTGTTCAGGAGGCCCGGAAACCCCACTGGAAAAGTTGGCTAACTGGGTAGGTGGTTTAATGCAGGGGCCTGATGATACTGTGCTCACCTGACTTAGCAGTACGTGGGGATATCTGGGGCTGTTTCTGATTATGCTTGGGGGACCACCTGGTGTTGGAGCTTGAACTTGGCTTGGGTGCCCTAACTGCTGTACTATCTCCTGACCCTTCATCTGTTTTTGTTTTAGGGGGCCCACACCTGGTGCTGTTCAGGACTTATTCCTGGCTCTGCATTCAGGGCTCACTCCTGGCCAGGCTCAGGGGACCATATGTGGTACCTGGATCAAACCCAGGTTGGCCACATATAAAGCAAAGCCTTACCCACTGAACTATTGCTTCAGCCCCTCCACCATCTGGTTTTGTTTTGTTGGGGTTGTTGGGGGGTCCATACCAGACAATACTCAGGTTATTCCTGACTCTGCACTCAGGATTCATTCCTGGTGATGCTCAGGGGATCATATGAGATGCCAGGGTGGGGGTGGGGCCGGGGATTGAACCCCAGTTGGCGACATGCAAGGCAAGCACCCTATCCATTGTACTATTACTCTGGCCCCCGTATGGGTTTTTTTTTCTTGCTGTTTTTTGGGTCACACCCGTCGATGCACAGGGGTCACTCCTGGCTCTGCACTCAGAAATTACCCCTCGTGGTGCTCAGGGGACCATATGGTATGCTGGGAATCAAATCTGGGTCGGCTGCATGCAAGGCAAATGCCCTACCTGCTGTGCTATCACTCCAGCCCCTGGCCTCCATCTGTTTTTAATATGGCCAGTCCCAGCACTTGGGAACCCAGGGGGCCACACTCTAAGGTACTAGACCTGGAAGTACAGTTTAGTGGTCAGGCCCAGCTATGAAGTGTTGGCACAGTCCAAGTGATCTGGAGGGACCATGCCGTGCTAGGGATCAAACTGGGTGTTCTAGGTACCTAAACCCTCTTTTAAGATATTTCCCTTCTCCCTTAGTACCCAGGTCTTCATCTTTTTTCCTCAGTATTCTTTTATTTTGGGTTTGGGGGGGTCCCACCTGACAGTAGCCAAGCGTAACTCCCAGCTTTGTGGTAGGTGGTCATTCCAAGTGGTGCTTGGGAGACGCAATGGTGCCAGATATCCAACCCAGGCTTCCCGTATGCAAACAATATGCTTCAGTCCTTTGACTTCTCTTTCTCTGGCTGCTTCTTTTGTCTTCTGCAATACAATAATAATGTTTTTTCTGCAATAATAATGTTTCTCTTATTTTTTGGGGGGGCCACACCTGGTGATGCTCAGGGGTTACTCCTGGCTCTGCACTCAGGAATCACTCCTAACAGTGCTTGGGGGATCCTGTGGGTTGGAAGGGATTGAACCTAGGTAGGTCACATGCAAGGTGAGTGCCTTACCCCTGTACTATCACTCCGGTACCCCTTTTTTCTTGTGGGTCTCGCACAAGGGTGCTCAGGAGACCATTTGATAGTACTGGGAATTGAACCTAGGGCTCCTAGCTCCAAAGACTGTATTCCTTTTTTTTGCCTTTTGGGTCACACCCAGAGATTCTCAGGGGTTACTCCTGTCTCTGCACTCAGGAATCACTCCTGACAGGGCTCAGGGCGTCATATGGGATGCCAGGAATGCAACCCAGGTTGTCCACGTATAAAGATTTGGTGTGTTATCTTTCCTCTAATGAAACCTTTTTGATCATTTTTAGTCATTCAAAACAAGCAATACAAAATAAATTACTTAGCATCTGCCTTTTGTGCAGGCTTGGGTGGTGGTGGGAAAATTTGAAATAACGGTTGGGGGAAGGTGTAATGGTGGTGGGATTGGTATTGAAATATTGAATAATCAATTATTATGAACAGCTCCTTGAAAATAAAATTTTAAAAATTTGATGTGTATCTGGTTTTATCTTTTTACTTTTTGGGTCATATCTAGAGATGCTCAGGGGTGACTCCTGACTCTGCACTTAGGAATCTTCATGGTTTGGGGGGACTATATGGGACACTATGGAGATCAGGAATGTGCAAGGCAAGTGCCTTATCTGATGTACTGTCTCTCCAGCTCCCAAAGCCTGCATTCTTGTCACTTACTTCAGAATTCAAATAATACTCCAAACCTCTTTACTTGTCAATCTCCATTTTCATCGCCAACTCAAGTTATCCAACGTGGTTTCCCTTTCTAACCTGATCTAGCTTCCCTTTCCCATAATTCCAAGTTATCACTAACTTCTACGCAAGTCTCTAATCCTGCTTTTTATTCAAGCGTCACATTGACGCTCTAGCAGCTTCGAAGACTGCTGACTCTTCTCTCCTTTAAACACTCTTTCCTTGGTCTTGTTCTTTAAGCCTTGGTTCTCCCTTGAATCTATATCTCGCTTAACTGTTTCTTTGCTTGCTGGCTTAACTTCTACTCTGGAGAAGCCTGTGTTCTTTCTCAAACACATCCTTCTTTTTCTCTTCGCTCACATCCTTCTACACAAGTTTCAATAAAAACTATCTTGTGTCACAAAAAATAAACATTCTTTCCTCGGGCCACAGGGATAATTCAAGGGTGTCGGGGAAAGGCCCTGCATTCAGCTGACCCAGATCTGATTCCCACTATCTTATCAGGTTCCCAAAGCCCTACCAGGAGTGATCCCTAAGCACAAAGCCAGGAGTAAGCCCTGAGCACAGCTGGATGTGGCCTCCAACCAAAACAAACATTCTTTCCTCATGTGTTAGGTAACAGCAGTCTGGTTTGTATTACTAGCGAGTCCTTTTCTCTGTAGAAACTCTTATCTGTAAGGACACGTCCAAGTTCAAGGACACATTAAAGTTCTTTGAGGCTGGGCCCTGTGTTATTCAGTCTTTCTCGTCAGGTCCATGACTTCAATAATCAACTAAAATAGATAACTTCACATTCTATGGCTCAAATCGTCTCTGAGTTTCAAGACCCAATTGTCAAACTGCCCCCATTTTCATTACAGTCATTGTAACTTGGCTTTTGCTAAGAACTTCAATATTGTCCACTTTACAAAAAGAACACTTCATGGCTCCCATTTTATGGGAGTGGATGGGTGCTTGGGAGAACTTACGTGGTGGCAGGGATGGGACCACGGTTGGCTGAAAGTAAGGCAAGGGCCATAGCCACTATGTAATCTTCCCAGCCCCAAAATTCCTTTTTTGTGCCACATCAGCAATAATCAGGCTCAGTCCTGACTTTGTGCTCATGGATAACTACTGGTGGTGCTCAGATATACTGCTGGGGAAATAGGATGAGCTGCATGCAAGGCTTACCTCCATACTATCTTTCTGGCCCCATTAGTTATTTTTGGGGGTGAGGGTGTTAGGTCACATCTGGGAGTGCTCAGGGCTGATACCTGGTTCTGTGCTCAGGGAATCATGAGGTCCCAGGGATTGAACCCTAGTCAGCCATGTGCTCCCCTGCCATGCCCGCTGTTCTTAGTTCTTGTTTTGTTTTTTGGGTTACACCCGATGAAGCACAGGGATTACTCCTGACTCATGCACTCAGGAATTACTCCTAGTGGTGCTCGGGGGACCATTTGGGATGCTGGGAGTTGAACCCGGGTCAGCCGTGTGCGAGGCAAATGCCCTACTCACTGTGCTATCGCTCTAGCCCCTGGCCCCATAGTTCTTAAACCCTCTCTATGGCACTGTCAACTATCCTTCCTTCCCCTTGATTTTTTTCCTTTCTTTATTTTGGTACTCTCTCCCAGCTGAAGACAATTCTCTTCAATTATCTTCAGTAGTTCTTCCCTTTTTGGGGGGCGACGGTGTGACACACATGACACATCCCTTAGGGGACCAGGGATGGAATCTGGGGCTCCTTCCTTTCGGCCAACTCTCAGGCTCTCTCTTACTGCCTCTTGAGCTACTGGTTTCTAAAAGCTGAGGAAAAAACATAAAGCAGTGGCTTGCAAAGTAAAAACAAAGTGACACCATGCTAAGAGCTGACAAGATGAAATGAAGCAACAAATCAAGTCTGTTGTCCAAACACTGGTTTTTGTGAACAGGGCTGGCATCTCATTGGGTTTTATTGGGTTTAGGGTCACATCTGGTGATGCTCAGGGGTTACTTAGTCCTGGCTCTGAACTCAGGGATTACTCCTGGTGTGCTCAGGGGACCATGTGGGGTACTGGGTATCAAACCTGGGTTAGCTATGTCCAGGCAAGCACCCTTCCCACTGTACTATTGCTCTGGCTCCCACACCTCAGTGTTTGAGCATCTTGGTGGGCAAAGTAAGGTCAGAAAAGGTAGAAGCAAATGTCTCTGTTAAGGTTCATAAAAGGGGCCTGTTCTCTACCTTCAATAGTAGATGCCTCTCAAGCTGAGATGCATTTCCTTGGCATTTCCCCCCCTGGGGAATTCTCTGTTCTCACACTCAGTTGTGGTTATGGCTTACTCCTGGCTCTGCTCTCAGGGATCACTCCTGGTGAAGGTCAGGGGACCACATGCAACGCCAGGGATCGAACCAGGTCAGCTGCAAGCAAGACAAGTGCCCCACCCGCTATACTAAAATGCTTCAGTCTCTTGAATACATGTCTCTTGCTCCCCTCATATTTATCTAAGTTAATGTCTTTTTTTGTGGGGGGGGGGGTCACACCCGGCGATGCACAGGGGTTACTCCTGGCTCTGCACTCAGGAATTATTCCTGGTGGTGCTCGGGGGACCATATGGGATGCTGGGAATTGAACTTGGGTCGGCCACATGCAAGCCCTATCTGCTGTACTATCACTTGAGCCCCAATTAATGTCTTTCAATGAAACTATTTTACCTCACTAAAAACGTTCCCAAGTGGTTGATTCAATATAACAAATTTAATATTCTGTTTTAGATGGTTTTGGGTCACATCCAGGGATGTTTGGTTGGGCTTTGGGGTCCCTACGTGGTGCCAGGGATTGAATCTGGGTCTGCCATACACAAAGCAAGCCCCCACCTCCCAAATTTCTTAAAAGTAAAAGCTGTCAAGAACACACATGTAACTTTATTCTCAATAAACTGTCAACAAACACAGATGTAACTTTATTCTCTGAGGCTATTAGCAACAATGCAAAACAGAGGAAGACGGAAAGTTGCTATTTAACAGGAACAAATATTCATGCAGCTTTCCTTCCTGGAGAGAGGATGCTCAGATTATGAGACCTAAGATAAAACAAAGACTGGATTGTCAAGAATCAAGCAAAGGGGAGACTCGAAAAGAAACTTGCATAGGGCAAAAAAATGTGTTTAACAATATTCTTGCCACTAAGCTCACAGAAGCAAACCAAAAACACCTAGAACTAACCCTGAAGCGTGCGGATCAGGACGTGATACGACTACATTTTGGCATAAGCCCCTCACTGTACTTGGACTACAATTACATGCTTGTTGCATTTGCACTACACCGTAAACAGCGATCACCACGACTCTCTAACTAGACCTGACGGTGACTTCGAAGTGACTCGGCTCCACTCAAAGTGGATGAACCAAAAACATTTTTGATGGTGGAACCAGCTGATTCGCATCTCAGGTCCTGCCTGAATGAAGTCCTCCCATGACCTTCCCTGCCTGCGCACAGCACTGCCTGGCCGCACCCCTCGTATTTGTCGGACACTGAAAAATTAGTCTGTAGGAACTGCATAAACAAGAAAATGGAACTTCCCATCTGAACCTGCGATCTGGTTCCTGCTTTGCGCAAAACGTACTCCTCTGCAGTGTACCCCACCAGCACAGCGGACCCCCTTTCTCGCTCGCTCTCTCTATTCCTTTGCCCTGAAGGCACTTCTGGATTGCTGAACACGTGCTCTTTGGCTGCCTCAACAGGACACCTAAGGCCATTTGAACTCATCACTCCTCTCCTCCTTCTTTTCTATGGCTAATACCACTTTCCTGCTTTTTGTCTATTCCTGAATCTCCAGGCTTGTTGCTTTCCTCAGGAGGAAGAAGACGATTGCGGCTTCGAGCTCCTGGCTGGTACAGCTGCATGGCAGGGCGATCCTGGAAGACAGGGAGATGGGTTCAGGTGACAACATTGCTCCTGAGTGTCCATGGGTGACCTGCAGAGCCTAAAGTTCAAGATTGGTACACTCCCCGACACAACTCACACCAAACCAAACACATGAAGTTCTACTTTGAGCCAATGCGTGCTTGGTGGTCAATTTACTTTTTACCCTACCACCAAAGAACAGCAACCACCATAGCTCAGAGGATACTCCTGGCTATGTGCTCACAAGTGACTCTGGCAGTGCTTGGGGCAACTGGAGGTCAAATGGGGGTCAGACACATGCAAGGCAAGTGTTCTAGCTGCTGTACTAGTTCTCTGGCTCTCTATGAGTATTTTACATGGCTAGGGTACATTTGTTTGAGAGGGCGGGAGTGGCGGAATTTGGCCATTACCTGGCTATGCTCAGAGCTTACTCCTGACTCCATGCTCAGGGATCAAACCTGGAGGAGGGTTGATCAGCTAAGTGTAAGGCAAATGTCTTAACGCTTATACTATCTCTCCTGCCCATAGGGTGCAGTTTTGATAAATTGAATGATCGATTTTCTTAACCACCTCAAGATAATATGCATTGGCTTAAATTTAGGTTTTAGAAACTAGTTGCCAACTCTTTCTTTCACACCAGTACAACGGCCTTTCAAATTCCCATACAAAGATTTTAGGAACAAAAATAATTTTTTAAAAAAGCAAAGTTATTTTAATGAGATGCTCTTTTTTGTGTGTGAGATCTCTACTCACTCATTTTTTCGATAAAACCCACTTACTTCACTGAAAAATAAAGTTTTATTTTGAAAATTCTATCCGCCAAGGATGAGGGGATGGCTCAAGCAGTCAACCATATGCAAGGCCCTGAATTTGATCCCTGGCACCAAATGACACCCTTTCCCAGAAATGCTGGGTGCGACCACATTAAAAAATTCTACTTTTGAAGAGTCAGAGAGGTAGTACAGTGGATAAGGTGCTTGCCTCTCGTGTGGTCAAGCTGGGATCAATCCTCAGCATCCAATATGGTCTCCTTGAACACTGCTAGGAAGGATTCCTGAGTATAGAGCCAGGAGTAACCATTGAGCATCTCTGGGTGGGGCACAAAACAAAACAAAGGAGCTGAAGTACAGTGGGTAAGCTGTTTGTGCGTTTTGGAAGGCCAAACCAAGTTTCATTCCCAGTATCCTATATGGATCACTGAGCCTGCCAGTAGTGATCCCTGAGCACACAGCCAGGAGTAAGCCTTGAACACTGTTAGGTGTGGCTCATAAAACAACAACAAAAAAAAAACAGTCTACTTTGGAACCAGAGAAATCATATACCAGGCACAGCGTTGGCCTTGCACATGGCAGACCAGGTTTGATCCCCAGCACCACATATGGTCCCCTGAACCCACCAGGAGTGATCCCTGAGTGCAGAGTCAAGAGTAAGCTTGGAGGGGCTGGAGCAGGTTGGGCGTTTGCCTTGCACGCGGCTGACCGGGGTTCGATTCCCAGCATCCCATATGGTTACCCGAGCACCACCAGGAGTAATTACTGAGTGCAGAGCCAGGAGTAACCCCTGAGCATCGCTGGGTGTGACCCAAAACAGCAAAAAAAAAAAGAGTAAGCTCTGAGCACTACCAGGTGTTGCCCAAAAACCAGAAAAAATTCTATTTGGGGGCTGTAGAGAGTATGCAGGGCTTAAGGGACATGCCTTGCATGCGGCTGACACCATCTAATCCCCAGCATCCCTTTTATCTCCTGAGCACTGCTAGGAATCACTCCTGAACACAGAGCCAGGAATAGTCCCTGGTGTGGCCCAAACCACCTTCCCCCTCATAAAAATCAACTCTGGTTGGGGGCTAGAGTGATAGCACAGCGGGTAGGGCATTTGCCTTGCACGCGGCTGACCCGGGTTCAATTCCCAGCATCCCATATGGTCCCCTGAGCACTGCCAGGAGTAATTCCTGAGTGCAGAGCCAGGAGTAACCCCTGTGCATTGCCGGGTATGACCCAAAAGGAAAAAAAAAATCAACTCTGGTGTTGGTGAAGTACATTAACTTACTACATCAAAACTGTACACATTAACACTTGTCACCGTTCTCCCAAAGTGGTAAGTAAACACTAAAATTCTGCCATCATCAAGAAGTGTTACGTTTTTTGCATGACCACCACCACCACCAGCAAAAGCCTCATGAAAACAAACATGTCTGACAAGCAGCAGCACCTTGTTTCTTATGCGATCTCTTTTAACCACTTCCTCTTTCTTCTCTACTTTGTCTGCGCTGCCCACTGGTTCAGGTGTTTCCGGCTTCTTCGCCTTAGCCCCCAGAGCTTCCTTCTCTTTCTTCATCTCTTCTTCCTTTCTTTTAAATGCCAAGGCCTTCTCCTTCTCGTAGCGCTCCTTCTGCCGGCGTCGCTCCTCCTCCAGACGCCTCAGGCGTTCCCGTTCTCGAAGGATGCGCTCCTGGTCGCGCTCATAATCGCGATCACGATACTCTCGGCTAAAGTCGTCTTCGAATCTGCATGAGAAGCACATCTGAGACAGGGCCCTCAGAGAGAAATCTCACTGGAGGCCAGTGTGCTGCCTGCACCAATACAGGTGGAGAACATGGTTGCTGAGTGAGCTATGGCCCTCAACCCCAAACTTCCTGGGCACGGTTAAAAAGCCAAACCAAACCAAACCGGACTAGCACCTTCCAAAGCACTCTCAAAACCCTTCGAACCCAGTGTTTATACCTTAGACGATGCAAAACCTTCCCTCTTCACCCCATCGCCACCCACCCATTGTAAAACCAGCTCGGGGGCTGGAGAGATAGTACAGCAGTAAGAGGACTTACTTTGTACATGGCTCACCTGGGTTCGATCCCCAGCATCCTATATGATCCCCTGAGTCCCACCATGAGAAATCCCTGAGCACAGAGCCAGGAGTATGTCCTGAGCACTGCCCACAAACAAACAAACAAACAAACAAACAAACAAAAACCCAGCTTATCTTCATTCCAGGGTGAACAGATGGGCCGCTCCTGGCTTTGGGCTCAGGAGAGATAGCTATCCAAGCACAGGAGGAAAACCTGCATCTAGGAACAAAAGAGACCTAAAGTAAATATATCCAAGAGTCCTCGACCACAAACCTCTTAGGCTTTTCCTCTTTAAACTCAATCTCTGGGCGTTTGGACATGGTACAAACAGGCCCACTGGCTCTTTCATCACTTAGGTTCTCCTTATCCAACTTCTTAGCCTTCTCTCTTTTCTCCAGTTGTTCTTTTTCATCTCCTTTCTCTGGCTTCTTCAGCAGCTTAAAGAGAAGACATAGATTGTTACATGGAAGGGTGGTGACACTGTCACGGCCACCCTACTTGCTTCTAGCAAAGAAGGCTGAGGCTCCAGAAGGTCCCCATCGCTGCAGGAATGCTTTGACTTTCAGGTGAACAAGTGCATCAAGAGCAGCAGTTTAGTGGAAAGGATGCGCTAAGGGTGTAAGTGTTATCCACTCAAACGAAGTGGTTCTGTCACAATCGCAATAGGATCCAGACTCCTTTGGCTTCAAGCGGATCAACCATGAAGTGGACCCCTGCAGGTTTGCATGAAGCAAACCAGCACGGTGATCTGGCTTGCCAGGAAAAATGCATCACCGATTTCAAATGTAAGGCAGAGCACGACTGTGGCTCAGTTTTGGAGCATAGGACTTGTATTGACAAACACCTCGATCACCAAAGGAGAGATCCATTGCAAGAATAGTTCTGCTTTGCCCCCGAGAGTAACATGCTGATAGTATGATCGTCACGGATGAAGAACAAGAATTAAATGGTGTTTGAAAAGTCCAATAAAGTATCAAACAGAGCAGGGAAGGCCTGTAGATATATTTGGGTTTGCGGGCCACACCTGGTGATGCTCAGGGGTTACTCCTGGCTCTGCACTCAGGAACTACTCCTGGTGGTGCTCCGGGGACCATATGGGATGCCGAGGATCAAACCCAGGTCAGCCTTACCCGCCGTACTATCTCTCCAGCCCCCAATATATTATTTTACTGCATAAAACCTGTACTTGATTCCACAGCTCTGACCATAGGCACTTGGAACACTGTTTTTCTGGAGCGCTTTTGAGTCACACCTGACTGGTGCTCAAGGTTTACTCTTAATAAGGCTCAGGGTGGGGGGGGGTCTCATTAAGACATACATGGTGCCTGAGATTGAACTGGCATGGGGTGTGTGCAAGGCCTTCACCCCTGTACTCTCTTCAGGCCAGAACAGGCACTACTCAAAAACACAAGGGACTCAAGTCCCAAGTATCCCTCCAGGTTCAAGGCATCTACTTCCACAGCTGCAAATCACCCCAGAATATTTCCCCTCTGGACTGGCTATTCTAGAGCAATTCCGTGGCAAAGGTGGGCATGGCCCAGTCTGGGGGGAGGGTGCAAGCATCAGACAGAGGTTTGTCTCGGGGGGAAGGCCACAGGCAAAGCACAGCAAAGAAGCCAGCAGGGGGTGGGGGTGCGGTGGGGGTGCTGCGACATGCGAAGCAGCACCATGGCAGAGGGGAGCAAGGAGGAGGGCTGAGCCAAGGCAGTGCATGCAGGTGTCAGGGGCCATGCTCTTATGTCTAACAAACATCTCGGACCAAAGCCATGATGTTCATTATGCCAATAAGAACATGGACGAAAGGTCTCCAGTCGGACTGGCTCTACCTGCTGCCGTGCTGAGAGGAGTGACAAGTCAGTTGCACCGTGGAAGGACAGCGAGATTGCTAGAAGGAATGAAGAGGGGAGCCTCCCCACCCTGCCCCTAAGCCCCACCCCTCTCCTCATCCCTTGAGAGTGCCCTCCACCACCCCTGCCCCGCCCCCCCAGAGTTTGGGTGACCTGGCACATCACAGTGTCTATGGGACTGCGAGGCCCTGGGAGAGCCTGTCACCAGCCTCAAGAGATGGGTGTCCCACAGTGGCGAGGTCAAGCTCCCAGAACCTGGGAGTGGTAGGGACATGGAGAGGCACAAGGCCGCCCTGAGTCCCACCCTCCAGAGAAAAGCGGCCAGGCTGGGCTCCATGCTCCAGGGGCTCTCCTCTTCCTGTGTGCCGTGCAGCAAGGAGAAGCCCAGCTCGAGGCTGGGTAACAAGGGCCTTGTGGGGGACGGGCAGGCCCAGAAGGCAGGGCCTGAGCCCTACCTATGACCCACCCCCCCCCACAAGAGTGCTGCTTCGAAGAGGCACACAGGAAGTAAGGGGGTCACTGAGAGCTGGGCATCTTCAGACTATATATATTTGCACGCATCTCTACAGGTCGCTTTCGACAGATGGATCTACATATATAGTCGAAGCTTCTGGGTACACAGCGGAGCATCAGGGGGTCCTCTGGGCCTTCCCCTTCCAGTTGGAATGTACAAAGACTCAGCTCTGAAGACGACTCAGAATGAGCCTGCAGGGCTGCTCTTATAATGGGAACATAGGCTATCACCACCACCGAAAAGGACTTAGGTGCTAAGACCTGTGTGTGCGACACGGTACTAGATGCACTGTATCATGGACTTGGTCCTTACATTTTTCTGATTCACAGCTTGTAACAGAAACCTGTGTACCTGAAGACAGTGGAAAACAAACAAATGAGGCAACTTCACGTATCAAACACATGAGGGGAACAACACAAGAAGCTGAATAAAACCCACATTTCATGCTAGCCAGCCCAATGGCCCAATTTGCAGAAAACAGAGGAAAGTAATATCCCTCCCCCACCAAAAAAAAATCAGATTCCAAAATGCACAAGAATCCAAATGACAGAGGACTGCAGCCAAGAAATGCAAGGCCAATGACATAGTCCTTCAAAATTATATCTTAAGTGGGGGGAATACCATTATGGATGACAGGAGACCTTTCTTATTGGTTTACTTTCCCACCCCATCGCCCACAAAAAGACAAAAACCCAAAGCCTCCATCTACACCAAGATAAGACACACGCACATTTAAACCACACAGACACATGCAGTTTGGTTATCTGCACACCTTAATCTTTGGTTCTTCCTTTATCTTTTCCTTCTCTGGAATTCTCTCTATCTTCTTGAGTTTTTCTATATCCTTTCGTTTGCGTTTCTCCTCTTCTTTCCATTTACGTCTCTCTTCCTCCCGGAGCCTCTTACGCTCGATCTCTCGCCTTCTTCGCTCTTCTCTTTTTTCTTCTCTCATTCTCTACAAAGACACATCAACCCACGCCTTCAAACAGAAGTGTCAAGAATTCATCCCAAGGGCAAGTGCAGTGAGCCCTTTAATATGCCAGGCCATCACGCTTTCCTACCAAGCACCTTTCTACCGCCTTCCCTGCCCCCCACCCCATTTATAATAGGAGAGCAGTCAGGATCAGGGCATTGGAGGACCAGTGTCTAACTGGTACCTTGTTGTATGAACAGCAAAGTATCTACTATCTATTTTAACATTACAATGGATTTCAATTTTTGGAGAGGTTCTCAGAATGCTACATGAAGACTGTGTCTCTGAAGACACCTAAGGATTTGGGGTTTGCACAGTGAATCCTGGATGCGGCAACCAGAGTGAAGGAGAGGGCCAGAAAAGGAAGCCAGAGCTCCGAAGCATAATCACAAGAAAAATGACCCCTTACTCCGAGAGGATCCTGATGCTTTAAAGGGGTTGGCAGAATCTGAACCAATAAAATGTAGGGAGAGAGCTATAAAATCAAAAGGTTTACCTGCTTGTTTTTCAGGAAGCTCAAAAGTGGGGTTGTCCTTTTAGCTACACAAACGTAAACAGATTATTAATACTTAGCAGCCCCTAAAAAGGATCCCATTTTTCTGACATTCCTACCAAACACCCAGGATGTGAAAGTGAGACCCCATTCCAGTAAAAGTTTGCCACTACATTCAGAAAGAAGTTTTACAGTACTCTACTTTCATTCTGTAGAATTAAAATGCCAAAAAAGATTCAGTGGCTGGAGAAGTAAGTAGCACAGTGGGCAGGGTGCTTGCGTTGCACGTGACAGACCCAGATCTACCCCTGACACCCCATGTGGTCCCCCAATCCATCCACGAGTGATCCCTGAGCACAGAGGCAGGAGTAAGCCCTGAGTACTACCGTTTGTGGCGCGAAAACCACCATCCTTCCCCCAAAAAACACCCAAAGACAATATTTAAATAAATTCCCCTTGTGAGAATTAAATTCTCGTTTTACTGCTGGCAGGAAAAATTTGTTCAACTGGATAAAAATGGGGGAAAGTGACTAAGTTATATACTCTTGACTCCAAATTCCACTGAAGGGAATTTAGCCTAAAAAATGATCAGAGATGAGCTTATTTTATACTAAAGGTAACAAAGGTTGAGAAGAATTAATTTTTCAATTTTTTCGGAGAGGTTATTTTCTTTGGGAGGAGGTCATACTTGGTGACGCTCAGGACTTACTCCTGGCTGTACACTCAGGAATTACTCCTGGAAAAACCTGTGGAACCATATGGAATGTTGGGGATATTAAACCAGGGTCGACTGCATGCAAGGCATGCCCTACCCAACCTACTATCACTGCGTCATCCTTATTTTTCAATATTCTGACAGTGATGTAGCCTTGTATCTATCTTTTAAAAATGTTTTTCTTTTTATAGTGTTGGGGATCAAACCCAGGAGTATGCACATGCTATTCAGAGACCCCCACATAAACAGCCCCTATAGACAGCAGTATCGTTTTTGGTTTTTCAGACCATACCAGCCTGTGCATAGGGTTTACTCTTTGCTCGGTGTTCAGGGATCACTTCTGGAGAGGATCAGGGCACCATATGTGGTACCAGAGATTGAACATGCAAGGCAAACATCTACCCACTAAACTATCTTTCTGGCTTCTATAGTTAGCTTTTTCTTTCGGTTTTTTTTTTGGGGGGGAGCCACACCCAGTGATGCTCAAGAGTTATTCCTGGCTCTGTGCTCAAGGATCATTCCTGGCAATGATCAGGGGAACCCTATGGGATGCTGGAGACAAAACCTGGGTCACCTGCATGAAAAGTAAGCTCTGTACCAACTATACTATCTCTCCAGACTCTGTAGTTAACTTTTTCAACACATACTTTCTTTGGATCCTGGGTCCAAAACTATGCTTATCTTTAGAGCTATGTCTAGTATGAGTGAGTACAATTCACCCTAAAACCTGTAACTAATAGCCAAACTAGAAGTTTTCAATTTGGCAGAATTAATTTCCTTCTTTTTGAGAGTTTCAGATCAAAAATGTTTTAAGAAATACAAGCTGCAGGGCTGGAGCGATAGCACAACAGGTAGGGCATTTGCCTTGCACACAGCCGACCCGGGTTCGACCCCAGCATCCCGTATAGTCCTGAGCACGGCCAGTAGTAATTCCTGAGTGCATGAGCCAGGAGTAACTCCTGTGTATTTCCAGGTGTGACCCAAAAAGAAAAAAGAAAGAAATACAAGCTGCTTCTTATTCAAATGGGCTCAGGGATCATCAAAGGCTGACCAATGTCTAATGGTTCCTAATCAGTCTTCACATTTCTTATACTTAGGTTATAGTTGGGGACCCCAAGCTGAGCACAGAATTTTTCTCCAGTTTATCAATGCCTTTTCTCAATCCTATGAAACAGGTATTATCATCTACATTTTATTTGTTTGGTTTTGGTTTTTGGACTACTCCCTGCAGTGCTCAGGGCTCATTCCTGGCACTGCTCAGGGAACCATATACAGGATGGAACCTGGGTCGGCTGTATGCAAAATAAGCACCTTCACCCATTGTACTATCTCTCCAGCCTATTTGGTATGTTTCAGTGAAGAAACCATTTTAGAGAAATCAGTGGCATCCCTGGGGTCACACAGCTAGCAAGTGACAGAAGTAAGAATCAAACATTCCTCCTAATGAAAAAGCCATAGACCTTCCGTCTACTTACCTATTAATTCTCTATTTTTGGCTTCAATTTCCTCTAGCAGAGTTTCTGGAGTAGAGGTCATCTTCTCATTATCTGCTGCATAGGTCTCCAAAAATTTTCTATATTCTGGGTCTAAAGAATGGTTTGATTCAACAAAGAACAGAGTAGGTCTTTTAGCAAAATCAGGCACCATTATGCCAAAGATGCAGTATGCAAAGAAGATACTGTTCTTCATGGAAGACTGAAAACAAACCAAGTCATGCCCCTAATATAGCTCAGAAATGTATGGGTCACTTATTGTCCAAACTCTAATTCAAGGCACCCACTAAGAGAACTGGATATAACATGAGGTCAGGACAAAGGAAACCCTCACAGTTTAACAGACTCCTTAGGGATATTATATAGTTTGCCTTTAAAAGTCAATATCCTAATCCAGAGTTGCACTTAGGCAGAAATGGTTATAGCCATAGGCCATCAATATTATACAGAGCATGGGAGTGCTTCTTATTTGGCTGAATCTGACTTTAAGTAAATGCAGCAAATGAAAATCACGTGGAGATTCCCAAAAGAAACATTTTGGGAGGAGCCGGAGTGATAATATAGTGGGTAGGGTGTTTGCCTTGCATCTGGCTGACCTGGGTTCAATCCCCGGCATCCCTGCGCACCACCAGGAGTGCTGAGGCAGGAGTAACCCCTGAGCATTGCCGGGTGAGACCCAAAAAGAGGAAAAAAAAAGAAAGAAACATTTCAGGGAGCTATAAGCTAAACATGGCACCAGAGGTGATGGCAATCTGAATCACTGTTGTTTCGAAATTTGAAAGTCGTATGCCATGTTGGGCAATGGCCCATGATCGGCCCTTCCAGGCCTAAATCAATGAGATTAGAATCAACAAGCAACCAAAGGGTGTTGCGTCCTTTCTGTATTTTTTATGAAATAAATACCCATTGGTAACAGGTATTAGACATTCTAAAATAGCAATCTCATATAAAGTATGTAAACATAATGTATGCGAAAGTTAAACAGCTAAAAAAACCCTACAGATAATTCAAAAACTGGATCCAGTTTACTGTAAGTGGCAATTATTCCAGTTTTTTGGTTCTTTCATTTCAGTTTGTCATTACTAGAGATGCAGTTAACTGCAGAAGCAAAGTTTGAAAGCCTAGCAATTTAGCAAATTTCTTATTAAATTACTCAAGCATAGAATTTTTCCCATCACATCTCCATGATTAATCTTCAGTTATATAAAAGTGGAAACCCATGGCAAATAATGATAAAATGGTTAAGAAGCCTGAGGGAGTTGTACTTGGTCAAGTCTGGCTCACCACCTTCGTTCATGGTCTTCTAATCAACTAACCTAAGAGGATTTACTACTTAATAACAGTCAATAATACATTACTTAAAGGGGGTAGGGGAGGAATTAAAGGTCACTAGCCAGCGACAGTGGAATCTCTACAGAGAACCCATTTCCTTTTGATTAAGCCAAAATTCCCACCCATGAATTACATTTCTTAGTAACCCTATTCTGTATGCTTTCTTATGGAAATGACTGACATCCAAAGAATTCTCAGAAAGGTTTTGTTTGTAAACCCATGGCAGGAGTATTACATAACTAGGGCTATACTGTACCATCATCGATAGTCCCAACTTTGGTATCTCTTTTCTTAGTCTTCTTTTTTGCAGCTTTTTGAAAAGGTGCAAATTCTACTATAGCAGGATATTCCTGACCTGTTTAGAAAAAAATACCACTTTGCTATAACAAAGAAAATATGAAAAATGGACACAAGAGTAAACCCACTGCTTTATAGGTCTTCTTTGATGGTTGTCATCTGAACAGTATCTCCCAAGGGCATCAGTTTAAGGTATGAATCACAGGGGGTACAACTAAAATCAACTTGCTACCCAAAGAGCCCCAAATTAAGACTCAAAATATGCTGCAGAGATATGTCAGGGAAGTCAAATGTTCATTTATATTCACCTTCTGAAGTGTGAGATTTGGATAATGTGGGGGAAATAAGCCACAAACTCTAATTTTCATGTAGAAAATACACCCGGGGGCCAGAAACAGTAGAGCAAGCAGGTAAGGTTGGCTCCACACACGCCAACCTGGGTTTGCTTCATCACCCCAAATGGTCCCTGGGCCTGGCCAGGAGTGATCCTTGAACATAGAGCCAGGAGTAAACCCTGAGCACTCCAGGGTGTGGTCCCCAAGCCACAAAAATACATCACTTTGGGAGGGAAAAGAGATGATCTGGAAGTAGTATAAGGACAACAGTGTGGGGGTTCTGAGCCCTTTCATGGTGAAGATGCAGTAAAACTTTGTACAACAAAACCATAAATATCATTACAGATACATTCCCTTAACAAGTTTTAAATTTTAATTAAAAAATGAATGTTTATGTGTGTTCTGACTGGAAAATAATATTTCTACTTTTTATCCATACTACTGAAACATGGTTGTTAATTTACTTGGTATCTTTTTTCTCTTTCAGTGGTGAGGAGGATAGAAGAAGGCGAGTAAGGGAGTGGAGAGAGGGAAGCAGGGGGAAGGAGGAGGAAGAGAAAGAGTGAAAGAGCGAGAGTGAGAGGTTGAGAGAGAAACTGAGACAGAGTGAGGGGTACTCAGTATCTTTTAAAATGTTCTCATCACAAGAAAAAATGTAACTGATGATGGATGTTATTTATGTTTATTGTGGGGAGTACTTCTCAACATAAATAGCAAATTATCATAGGAATATCTGAAACTAATGTAATGTTCTAGTCAACTCTATCTCAAAAAAGGAAAATTTAAAAAAACTTTAAAAGTCAAATTAAAGAGAGCTCTAAAAACAAAATAAAAAACCCTTGGGGCTGCACACAGCCGACCCGGGTTAATCCTCAGCATCCCATATGGTCTGTGAAGGACCGCCAAGAGTGATCCCTGAGCACAGAGCTAGGAGTTTAAGCATTGATCATCGCCAGATGTGAACCCAAAACCAAAAGAAAGAAAAATTAGATTATGTAACAGATAATTTAATATACCAAAAATATTGAATGGTACATTTGATAAAGGATAATTTTATGATATGTGAATTATATCTCAATGGAAGTATTTACGGGGCTGGAGTGATAGCACATTGGGTAGGGGTTTGTTTTGAATGCAGATAAACTGGGTTCGATACCCAGCATCCCATATGGTCCACCTGTGTACCACCAGGAGTAATTCCTGAGTGCAAAGCCAGGAGTAACCCCTGAGCATCGCTGGGTGTGACCCATCCCCCAAAAAGAAAATATTTAAAATATTTCAGGGAGCCAGAGAGATAATACAGGGTTAAGAGACTTGCCTTGCATGTAATCAACCCCAGTTTGACTCCAAGTGTTGCAAAGGGTTCCCTAAGAACAGCCAGGAGTGACTCATGAACGTAGAGCTAGCTATAAACCCTGGGCACTGACGGGTGTGCCCCTACCCAAAAAATATGTATACAATAAAAGAGCATTTTCTGCTTCTTGTATCATAACCTGAGATATATACACACTCTCTCTCCTTACAGTTTTTTGTAAATAGAACTATTTTATTTCACATACCAAAAATATTTTATAACATCAAAAGGTAGGCAACAAAAGTAAAAGCAGGCATATATAATTTTTTTTTGTTCTTTGGGTCACACCTGGCGATGCACATGGGTTACTCCTGGATTTGCACTCAGGAATTACTCCTGGCGGTGCTCAGGGGACCATATGGGATGCTGGGAATCAAACCTGGGTCGGCGCGTGCTAGGCGATGCCCTATCTGCTGTGCTATTGCTTCAGCCCCGGCATATATAACTTTACCAAAATTGAAAAAATTCTTTGCCTCTAGGGATGGAGAAGTTGCTATTTATGGAAACCAAAGAAACTAGTATTGGTGATGACACGGAGAAACTAGAATTCTAGGGCATAACTGGATGGAATGTAAACTTGAACGGGTAACAGTGAAAACACAGGAAGTAAAATAGGTATTCAAGTTCAATTTTGTCAGTATGATATTCTAATATGGGAGAAGGAATCTCCAAACTAGTTTTCTTTTTTGGTTTTGGGACCATATGCAGTTCAGGAGTTACTCCTGGTTGTGCACTTCAAGAAACACTCCTGGCAGGGGACCATATGGGATGCCGGGGATTGAACCTGGTGCAAGGCTAGCACCCTATCCACTGTACTATCTCTCCAGTCCCCAAACTAGTTTTCTTTTATATACACATCAAAATCTCTCTCTCTCCATCCCATTTCTCTAAGCAATTTTCTTTTAAAAAATTAAGTAATGGGCTGGAGGGTAGGGCTCTTGCATTGTACACAGCCGATCTGATTAAATCACTGGCACCCCGTATGATGCCCAGAATCTGCCAGGAGTGATCCCTATGTGGACAGCTAGGAGTAAGTCCTGAGCATCACAGGCTGTGGTTGCAAAAACGAAGTAAATAATAAATAAAAAGCATATGATTAAGCAATTAGGCCTTAGGGTAATTATTCAAAAATGAAAGCAAGGGCCAGAGAGGTAGTACAGTGGGTAAGAAGCTTGTCTTGCATATGGTCAACCTGGGTTCACTCCCTGGCACTTCATATGATCCCCGTAGCCCTACTAAGAGTAATCCTTGAGCGTAGTCAGGAGGAAGCCCTGAACACTGCTAGGTCTGGCCTAAAAACAAAAAAGGGAAAGTATAGATTGAAAACCAACGTATATAACTAAGAACACAGCAAACTCATTCACAATTACGAAGAGGTGGAAGCAATGCCAATGGATAACAACAAATAGATAAAATATGGTTTGGTCATACAAAGGAATATTACTCAGCCTTATAGCACTGTATAGCACTGTTCTCCCATTGTTCATCTATTTGCTCAAGCGGGCCCAGTTACATCTCCATTGTGAGACTGGTTGTTATTGTGTTTGGCATATCGAATACGTCACGGGTAGCTTGCCAGGCTTTGCTGTGCGGGCGAGATACTCTCGGTAGCTTGCCAGGCTCTCCGAGAGGGGCAGAGGAATCAAACCCTGGTTGGCCGGGTGGGTGCGTGCAAGGCAAACACCTTGCCCACTGTGCTATCGCTCCAGCCTACTACTCAGCCTTAAAAAACAAAGTTTCTGTTTGTTTTTGTTTTGAGGCCATACCCAGTGGTGCTCAGGGATCACTCCTTATGGTGCTTGGGACACCATAGGTGGTGCGAGAGATTGAACAAGGGCTGCCATATTCAGGACAAGTGCCTTAACACTCCTGTACTAGCTTTCCAGTCCCACAGGAAAAAGAAAATTCTGACAGAAGTGACAAACTAGATGAACCTTGAGGTCATTCTAATAAATGAAAGGAGTCAATCACAAAAGACACATGTAAATATAAAAGACACTTACATGAGGGCCTAGGATGCTAAAGCTTATAGAATGATATTCACAGGGGGGCCCAAGTGATAGTACATTGGTTGACGCTGTACATGGTTTGATCTCCTGCATCCCATATGCTGAGCACCGCCAGCAGTTCCTGAGTGCAGAGTGAGACGTAATCCCAGCGCATCATAGGGTGTGGCCCCCAAACAAAAATTAGACAGTTACCCAAGACTGATGAGGGTATGAGGAAAAGGGCAGATATTTAAATGACTCTTTTTTTTGGCTTTTTGGGTCACACCTGACAATGCACAGAGGTTACTCCTGGCTCTGCACTTAGGAATTACTCCTGGCGATGCTCACGGGACTATATGGGATGCTGGGAATCGAACCCGGGTGGGCCACGTGCAAGGCAACACTCTACCCGCTGTGCTATGGCTCCAGCCCCAATATTTTCGTTTTCAAAAAAATGAGTAAGGGGGCTGGAGCCATAGCACAGCGGGTAGGGCATTCATTTACTTGCACATGGCTGACCAGGGTTCGATTCCCAGCATCCCATATGGTCCCCTGAGCACCGCCAGGAGTAATTCCTGAGTGCAGAGCCAGGAGTAACCCCTATGCATCGCTGGGTGTGACCCAAAAAGCAAAAAAAAAAAAAAAAAAAAAAAAAAAAAAGAAAATTGACTCTTGAATTAGTCATGCAAGATGAACATTTCCTCAGAGGGGCTAGAGAAAGAGTGCAGGAGGGAAGGCACTTGCCCTGCATGTGGCCATAATGGCTGCGAGTCTGGTTCGAATCCAAGTAGCACATATGGTCCCATGAGCAACATTAGGTGTGGCCCTGCCCCCATCACACCCCCTCCCCCAATTCTGCAGAATGGTGGCATAATCCTATAGAAATGTAATACTCCTGAGCTAGACATTTAAAAACGGTTAAGAACACAAATTGAGGTAGGGATGGGATAGAAGCTTGGGTGTGGCTCAGTGGCAAAGAATATGCCGTTTATGTCTGAGACCAGCGCTGATCCCTGGCACTGCACAAAAGAAAAAAAAATACACACACATTTTATATTATGTATCTTTCCCCACAATTTTGGTTTTGGTTTTGGGGTTACACCTGGCAGTCCTCAGCGCTGACTCCTAACTTTGCTCTCAGGAATCACTCCTGGTGGGCTTGAGGGAACTTACAGAATGCTGGGGATCGAATCCAGGCCAGCTGCATGCAAGGCCAGTACCTTACGCACTAGACTGTAACTCCAACCCCTTTCCCTGTAATTTTTAAAAGTGGGAGGAGAAGGAGGTGGAATGTAGATGAACCTTTAAAACACTATGCTGAGAGAAAGAAATCAGTTACTGATGGCCATATAATATATGACAACTTATATGAAACTGTGCAGACTATGGAAATCTACAGATAGCAACTTAGTGATCAGGGGTTAGGGGAAGAGCTGTGTGTGCCTGCTCAGGGATAGAATATTATTTGTTTTGGGGCCACACCCAGCAGTGCTCAGGTCTTACTCCTGGATCTGCACGTAGGGGACCATATGAGGTGCCGGGGATTGAACCCAGGTCTGTGTGTGTAAGGCAAATGTTCTACCTGCCTTACTATATAGCTCCAGCCCCGTGGGTAAAGGATTCTTTCTGCAGTGATGAATCCATTCTGCAATTACCTAGTGGTAATGGCCAGTGAATACACTGAAAACCACTTGGTTGGCCACTTGAAGCGAATTCATTTTATGGGAGGTGAGTTATAGCTCAACTCTTCTTACAAAACCCAAACTTCAGGCAAAAAATGTAAATAAAAATAGGCTTGCTCTTTCAAGGCCGTGTTTTCCCCTGAATAAAATCTATCTTACTTCACACATATATATATATATATATATGCAGATATATGATTATATAATAATAAAATATAATTATATATTAGTGAAGTTAAGACATTGCACTGCACTGTAGCACTGTCCTGTTGTTCATCAATTTGCTTGAGTGGGCACCAGTAATGTCTCCATTGTGAGACTTGTTACTGTTTTTGGCATATTGAATACGCCACAGGAAGCTTTCCAGGCTCTGCCATGTGGGTTTGGATACTCTCGGTAGCTTGCCAGGCTCTCTGAGAGGAATGGAGGAATCGAACTCGGGTTGGCCACATGCAAGGCAAACGCCCTACCCGCAGTAAGACATAAAAAATATATATATATAATAAAAATTAAAAATATCAGATCCCTGATATCAAACATCATTCATCAGAGAGAGAAAAAATCAACCCTTAGATCATAGGCTTGCAACCCTATGTCAGAAGGAAGTGCCTAGAATTGGCCAGAGACATCACAATGCATCACAAACCTATGACATCAACAAGATGTCAATAAAGGTGATGGAGACAATCTAATTTCTGGAAATCTTGGCAAATCCAGCCTCAGATTTAATTCAGTTGGGCAACTACAGATAAAACAGGTTAATAAAATACCAACTACTCAGAGAAGAAATGTAAGTCCGACTGAAACAATGTGGAAGATCAACTGGAAACAGAAGTAGGAACCCAACGGAAGTATCCTGACTACCTGGCTAAGGAGTATGAACTTTTTTCCAGAACTGGTTCTTAAATAACTAGTTTCCAAAAGATTCCTTTCATGGCACTGTAACAGCTGAGCTATTTGGAAATGGGGGAAATGGATAATCCTGTTAGCTGAGAGGCAGTGGTTACTAAGCATTAGGCAGAAACTGTGAGACAGTGAGTGAGGACAGAAACTGTGAGAGTTTTAGTAAGTATAAGTGAACAAGTTAGTCACGAAGTAATTAGTAACATGCATCCCTTGTGGAAACATTCAAAAAATGAGAGAGAGAAAGGATAAATTTAACGTAACTTGGATTGCGAAGTTAAGTTGCTAGGACCTCACAGCTAGCCATGACAAAAAAATTGGAGCGGAGAAGTGACTAGCCCAGAGGAGATTAATAAAATTGGACAAACACAAAAGCAGTCTTTTCATTGTTATTGGCATTTTCCCTGACAAAGAATTTAGTTTTATTACCTAAGGGGAAAAAAAACACAAATCGGGGGCCAGAGTGATAGTATAACAGGTGAGGTACTCGCCTTGCTTGAAGCTAACCTGGGTTTAATCCCCTGCACCCCATGTAGTCCCCTGTACCCTGCCAGGAGAGATTCTTGAGCAAAGAGCCAGGAGAAAGCACTGAACTTTACAGGGTATGGCAAAAAAGGAAAAAAAACCCACACAAAACAAAACAAAACCCCCCAAAATCCAAAAAATAAAATCATTTCCTGTTTTTAATGTCAAAAGGAAAATTGCAAATGGATGGCAGCTTAGTCACTGTCTGGTTAAATGTTGTAAGCACAGAGAATAAATGGAGTTAAGGCCGCTTTTTTCCTTACACAGAAACTAGTGAAAACAAAGTGGGATGGATAGCACAGAGTTTAGTGTCTTCATAATACAGAACAGTGAGGATAAAAGTACTCCAATTGGAAACGATTGCCTTAAAGGATATGAATGAAATAATATTGGCCTTTGGAGCAAGATGATAAGTAAATATTTAAAACAGGCCATACCCATTTCAAGAGTCATGTGTTGGGGCTGGAATGATAGTACAGCCAGTAAGGCACTCGCCTTGCAAATGGCTGACCCACGTTCTATCCCCAGCACCCCACATGGTCCCAGAAGCAGGCCGGGAGTGATCCCTGAGCTCAGAGCCAGGAATCAGCCCTAAGTCAAATATCTGTATTACTGATGAAATTAGTAAACAATCAACAGATCACCTAATCCAAGGTAAAAAGATTTGTCCTGGGAGAAAACAATGACAATTTAATTCAGTTGGGCAACTACAGATAAAACAGGTTAATAAAAATACCAAAGTGCTGTGCGATCAATATATACATTAAAATTGATCAAATGTGAAAAACTCTTTAAATAGGACTCTATTTTATTACCCAGCACTTTAGGAAAGCTACAAAGTCATTCTACACACAATTACACAGAGTGTCTTAAACATATAAAGGACAAACTCCCCTATTGGTATAGACTCACCTTTATTGTCAAGGAATACATAGCCATCAAAGCGATCCCTGAACAAAATAATATCCTCTTGGTTCCTAAAGTTGATGTATGCTCTCGAATACATATGAGGATACAAACTGCAGAAGAGGAAAAACAATAATGTAAATGTGCTTGCAAGTGTCTGGTTAAATTACCAGAAAGCACATTTATGAGACAGGCTTAAAAATCTGTGGCAAAGATGACTAGTATCAAAACGGCAGAATGAACTTTATTCAGCTATCCCCTCCCTTGTTTTATTTACTTATTTTACCTAGTATCATTAGAGAAAAACTCAAAATAATCATGGTCAGGCAGAGGCTGAAGATGTTCCAGAAGCTGCTCCTTGGTCAACGTGGGAGGTAATCTGCGTATGACCACCTTAGGAAATGAATAAGGAAAACAATATTACTGCAAATGAATTTTCAGTAACACCTGACTTGCCACCCCTGAAGAAAGACGGACTTTAAGACACGAGGTCATTTAGAAAAAGCTGAAAATTGAAAACGCTTGCAATCAAAGCCAATCTCAGGTTCTGTTCATCCAAAGATCGGCCGTTTACCAGGTCTGCGCATCATGTTCTGTCGTCCATTTTTTTAAACAGATGTCTCGGGCAAGAAATTAACGGACCAACCTTTGATTTATTATTCCCCCACATGCAACATATCCTACAACAAAATCCTTCCTCATTCAACACCAAGAATTCAAAATTCAAAAGAGTACCAAAAATTCACTCTCGCTCCACGAATAGGATGAACCCGACCTAGCCCCCTAGACCAGTAACCGCCCCCCGCAGCCTCCCACCTGTCCCCCTCGATACCGCCATCGCAAACGATTCCCACCACTGGCCGTCCATTCATTATTTCATAATTCTCCCCAATTAATTGCTTTGCGGTCTCCCTTTTCTTAACTATCGTTTTTTTTCTGGCACCTTACAGCTCGGAACCATCCCATCTGGGAATCCCCCATCCCAGCTGGGAATCCCTCCCACTTTTGCCTCACTACCACCCCGGGGGGCTGAGCCGGAAAAGGTTCCCCACCATAACCGGCCAGTGGAAAAGCCGGGGAGATAAGATTTCATTCAAGGGAGGAAATGCTGCGGGAGACCGGGAGGGAAAGAGGGCCGCCCCGTTCCCACCCCGTCCCGCCCTCTCCCGGAACAACCGATGGTCACGCACCTTGCTCAGCGCTTCTTTCTTCTCCTTGCTCCGATCCTGCTTATCATCCCCCTTGCCGCAGTCCGCCGAAGCCCCGGCGATGCTGCTGGTGGCCCCTTGGGGAGTCAAGAGGGTCACTCGCTTCTCCTTGGGCCTATAATCCCGATCCTCCTTCATGGCCACGGCGCCGCGGCTCCGAGCGGCGGCTCGGCCCCCGAGCCGTTACGCCGCCGAAGCCCTGCCGCTCTCGCTCAGTTCCCGTCAGAACTCCGCCCCCCCCACAAAGGGCTTGTTCGTTAAAACTGGGACCCGCGTGCCATTGGGCCCCGCCGGGATCTCGCGAGACTTCGGGGCACAACCGTGAAAAGGTTTTAACACCTGGTCCCGTCAGCCCCGCCTTCCGGAATTCCCACGCCGCCCAATCCCCTTGAGGCCCAGACTCCCTCGGGGCTTGGTCCCCGCCCACCCCTTAGCGCTCCGCCATCTTGAGTAGGCGGACTCTTTCCTCAGACTACGAATCCCGGCATGCAAAGCGGTTGCTCTGTTCCCACCGGGCGCGTGCTGGAGCTGTAGGTTTTCTGCGTCCTTATTTGTAAGACAGTTTGAGGCTTTGGTTAATGAGAAGGTCTGTTTCTCAGATCGAAAGACAACTTCTGGGGGCAGTACCTCGTTTCTTTTTGCTCAGATGAACCCCTTGTTACCCAAAGTTTACCTCACCCGGGGACGACGTGGTTTTTGTCACTGGTTCCAAAGAAGCTTTAAAACTCCTTTTCTTGGGCCGGTAGAGATAGTATAGCATCTAAGGCGTTTGCGTTGCACGTGGTTGACCCGGGTTCCGTCGCATCCCATATTGTCCCCTAGGCACCACAGGATTGAATCCTGAGTGCAGAGCCGGGCGCACCGCCGAGTGTGGCCCCTCCAAAAGTAAACCCCGCTTTTCTATACGTTAAGGATTCACAAGATTCACAAGACGCTTCTAAAGAAATAGTATGAGCAAACGATGAGATCTGCCTTGCATTGCTTTCTTATGTTGTTGTTTTTTCATTATTATTATTATTATTATTTTGGTTTTGGAGACACAGCTGGAGGTGCTCATGCGAGCCGGTTCTCGAGATGTGCAAGGCAGATACTTACCTCTGTACTATCTTTCCATCCCTCTCACTTGATGTAAAGCAAAAGGTTTCTGGCGGTATTAATGCACCAGGATCGTTGAGGGCTTCTAGAAATGTTGCCCTTAAAAAGAAAAAAGAACTGCTGAACGTATCCAGACATTGGACCAAGTATGGATTCAAAGGGCAGAGCACGAGCTTTGCATGAAAGAGCCCGGAGTTTCTGGCACTGCATGATAGTGCAAGCACCGTGGAGAGCCACCTCCACTCATGTAGCAGGGGAGCTCCTCACTGTGTGCCCTGCCCCCAAAGAAGATTCCAGACACAGTTGCTGTACAACCTCCTTTGTACCAAATTCTAGGAAAAGGTAAAGCTAAAACAATAGAAAACTCATTGCTATGGGTTGATTGTAGAGCCAATGCAGAAAAAATTTCTTTTTTTAGTGAAGCATGATAATATTTTTCTGAAGCAAGATAGTTTTTATTGAAAGATACTTAGTAAGATGTTACAGGGGAGAAGGAAAGGAATTCATGTTCCAGAGTGAAGATGAATTTAAATGAGTAAGAAAAGATGCATAGAAAGATATGTATTCAAGGAAGAACACAGGCTTGAAATAATAACCCCGGGGAACTTTTTGTACTGATGAAAATGTTTGTATCAAGTAGAGAGAGAGAGTATGGGGGAAACTGTCTGCCACACAGGCATGGAAAGGGTTGGAAGGGGGGCGTACTGGGTGTTTTGGTGTCGGAAAATGTGCACTGGTGAAGGGATGGGGTTTAATTATTGTATGACCAAGTTCAAATATGAAAGCTTTGTAACTATCTGAATCAATAAAAAGGGGGAAACTTTTTTTTTTAAAAAAGAGAATGTTTGTATCATAACTTTGGTTGTGTTTACCAGTCATCACACATTTCTGTTATTGCACCTTGAAAATTGATCTGTTTTTATTTGGAGGGGTTAGGTCCCCAGAAGCTGTTCTCTGGAGTTACTCCTGATTCTGCTCTCAGGAATTACTCCTGGTGGTGTACGGGGGACCACATAGTATTCTGGCCATTGAAACCCTGGGTCCTCCAAGTGCAAGACAAGTGCCCTAATTGCTGTACTATCTTTCTAACCCCCAGATTTTATTTATGGAAATTGTATTTAAATAAAGATCTGCTCCCAAAAGTTTAAACCAAATGAAAATTTTGGGACCTGGAATGTTGTTCAAGAGATTGAAAACACACCTTGGCATATTCCAGACCCTGAGCTCTACTCTACCAACTGTATGGCTCCCAGCATCTATGAATGTGGTTCCCATAAAGATAAAAAATTGCAGAGCTTGGGAGCATTTCCCAAATGATAGAGTGTATTTTATCCACTCTAAGATATTGATTCAAAGACCAACATTATCGAGAAAGAAAAATGCCACTAGTTGGACAGCATTATCAGTTTTATGATGCATCCCGATTTCAGGAGAGTTAGAATATGAAAAAGTATGTCTTGAATCAATTAACTAAGTGTATATAATTAATTACATCATATACAATTCAGGAAAAAGGAAGATAAATGGGAGAGAAGAGCAAATGATAAGCTTATGGGCTACAGGCTTAAAGCAAGTTTATGCAACAGAAGCCCAAAGTGAAAAACTGCTGAAGGGCCAAGATCTGTTATGCCAACTGATAAGCTATAGAGAATGAGAGGCACTAGCCATACATGCAGGCAGCCTGAGTTCCATTTCTGGTGCCATGTAGATTCCTCAAGCACCATCGGGAGTGATCCCTGAACACAGAGCCAGGAGTAAGCCTTGAATACCACTCCAGCTTTGATTCCCGAGGACAAAGATAGGAATAAGCCCTGAACACTGGGGTGTACCCAAGACATGCCCCCAAATAAATTAGAATCCTTTCCTTGACAGATAATAAAGCAGCAGCAAACACTACTATAAAATACTGATTTGGATTTTTAAAAAAATTTTTATTAGTGAGACATCATGAGGTACAGTTGTAGACTTACAAATTTTTGTGCTTGGGTTTCAATTATACAATGATCAAATACCCATCCCTCCACCAGTGCCCATTTCCCACCACCACGGATTCCAGTATCCCTCCCACCCTCCATCCCCCCCCATCCCACCCTGCCTCTGTGGCAGGGCATTCCATTTTGTTCTCTCTCTCTTATTGGGTGTTGTGGTTTGCAAAAGAGGCAGTGAGTGACAATCATGTTTAGTCTATAGTCTACTTTCAGCATGCTTCTCCCATCCTGGGAGAATCCTCCCAACACCCTCTATTTGGTGTTCTCTTCTCTATCTGAGCTCCCTTTTCCCCTAGCATGTGTGGTTGGCCTCCAAGCCATGGAGTAAAATTCCTGGTACTAATCTCGGCCATTTTTGGGTGTTAGTCTACTATTTTGTTACTTTATGTTCCCCAGATGAATGCAATCTTTCTATGTCTATCCCTTTCTTTCTGAGTCATTTCGCTTAACATGATACTTTTCATGTAGTACCACTTGTATGGAAATTTCATGACTTCGTCTAAAAAATATTTAAACGTTTTCATATTTTAAAGTTTGGGGGCCATACCTGGTGGCAAAAACAGGCAAAATTCTCACCTGATGTTCATTGTTCATGCTGCTTTTTATGTTCTATTGCCCCATGTATATTAACTTCTTTTACAAATAAAACTACCTATGAAAATTAGGTAGTGGCTGTGGGGTGTTCCACCCAGCATCATGAAAACTATAAAGCTAACATCCAGGGGCTGGAGTGATAGTAAGGTGGTAGGGAATTAGCCTTGCATGCATTGACTGGGTTCTATGATCCCCCTGAGCCCACTGAGAGTCTCTGTCAGCACAGTGCCAGAAATCAGCGCTAAACTCTGCCAGGTGTGGCTGTAAAACAAAAAAACTGACATCCAGTGCAAGATCAAAGTAACTCATTTCAGTGCTGTTGTCAGTTTTGTTTTTGGCAGGCAAGCACATTCAGCAGTGCTCAGAGTCTACTCCTGGCTTCAGAGCTCAGAGGTTTTCCTGGTAGTGCTTGGGGAGACCATACGAAACCCTGGACTGAACCTGGGCAAAGTGCATGCTCCAGTCCTTGGAGTCATCTCTCCAGCCATGTGTTCATGGTTCATTATTTTTAGTTAATTTATATCCAGACCACCTCTAAAATGACCCAAATCCTAAACACAGTGATGAAAGGAACTGAACACTGTAAACTCCAATCCAAGGCTGGAGAGATAGTACAGGAGTAAGGCACTTGCTTTGCATGTGGCCGACCAGAGTTTGATCCCAGCTCCCCATTGGGTATCCCCAAAACCGGTTACGGTCATGGTCACGGTCCTCCCGTTGTTCATCGATTTTCTCGAGCGGGCAAAAAAATTTTTTTTCTGAATCACTATGAGATACAATTACAAAGCTTTCATGATTGGGTTTCAGTCATACAATGATAGAACACCCATCCCTCCACCAGTGTACATTTTCTGCCACCAATGTCCCCTGTATCTCTTCCGTAACCCATACCCCATACCACCCCATGCCTCTGTGGCAGACACCTTCCTTCTTACTCTCTCTACTTTGGGGCATCATAGTTTGCAATACAGATACTGAGAGGCCATCATATTTGGTCCTTTGTCTATTTTCAGCACACATCTCTCATCCTGAGTGATCCCTCCAACCACCATTAACTTAGTGGTCCCTTCTTCATCCCAACTGCCTTCTCCCCCAGCACATGAGGCAGGCTTCCAAACCGTGGAGTGATCCTTCTGGCCCTTGTCTTTACTGTTCTTGGATGTTAGTCTCATATGTTATTTTATAAAAATTAATATTTTAAATTAAAAACATAAAGGAGATCAGAGAGATAGTACAGCAGGTAGGGTATTTTGACCCCTGGCATCCCATATGTTCCCTAGTCTCCAGGAGTGATCCCTTGGCATAGAGCCAGGAGAAAAACCCTGAGCATCGTGGGGTGTGGCCCCCAAACAAAAATAAATAAAATTCAAACCAATATTGTACAGTAGTGTTTGCTGATGCTGTTATCTGTCAAGGTTATTTACTGTATAGTCATTTACAAGTATAGTCATTTACTGAGTGGGGGGTTGGTTTGGGCCACACCCCCTCTGTGTTCAGGGCTTACTTCTGATTCTGTTCTCAGGAATCACTCCTTTCTGGGTTTCAGGGGACCCTATGTGGTGCTGGGGATTGAACCAGGGGTGGCTGCATGCAAGTACTT